CATCTCACCTCATGCTCTGTAATTAATAATAAAACACATTGAATTCAGCTCTCATTTTGACAGCAAAAATAGGTCAAATTATTGTCGTTTTGTAGAAATAATATTCTGTACAACTAGATATATATGTAATGTATATACTGTATTTTATTGTATAAAAACAATATATAGTATACTGCCTCTAATCCTTCCTACCATTCCATAACATTGAAATGAGATGAGCTAGGTCAATCGGAGAAGATTTAGGGGACCCAGTGATTGGTGTACTTAAGCAAGAAGGAAACTGAAAACACTGGAATCCTATCTTAATAAGAAAAAATTGAATTGTAAAAAGTGAATGAACAAAGGAAAGAAGCACGTAGCAGTTAGAATATTGGGGAGTCAGTTCTCACTGCATTTAACACATATTTCCCAAATTCAAACCTTACACATAATGGCATTAGGCTTGGCCCATTACTGTAATATAAATGGGTGGTTTTAGACTATAGGAAAGCATTTAATTCACCAGGTACTGTATTTCCTAAACTTTGATTTACACTTTGTAACAATATTTATTTTACATTCCTGGTTTAGCCATCCTGCGGTATCGTTGAGTAATCTTATTAACTGGACCTGGGTATAGGGTTAGGGTTAACGCTGTCAAAAAAGCATACGGGATACTAGGCTTGATAAATAGGGGCATAGAATACAAAAGTCGGGAAGTTATGTTGAACCTTTATAAAATACTATTTAGGCCTCAGCTAGAGACTGTGTTCAATTCTGGGCACCACACTTTAGGAAGGATGTCAAGGCATTGGAGAGGATGCAAAGGGGATTTACCAAGATGGTACCAGGCATGAGGGACTTCAGTTATCAGGAGAGGCTAGAGAAGCGAGGATTATTCTCCTTGGAGCAGAGAAGATTAAGAGAAGACTTAATAGAAGTTTTCAAAATTCTGACGGGATTCAATAGGATGCACAAGGGGAAATTATTTCCACTAGCGGGTGGGTCGGTAACCCAAGGACACTGATTTAAAATAGTTGTTAAAAGAAACAGAGGGGAGGAGAGGAGAAATTTTTTTTGCACAGCGTGATGTTTGGATCTGGAATGCATTGCCTGAAAGGGTGGTGGAAGCCGATTCAATAACAACTTTTAAGAGAGAACTAGATAAATATTTGGGGAGGACAAGTTTGCAAGGCTATGGAGAGAGAGTGGGGAGGTGGGATTGAATTGGACAGCTCTTTTCAAAGACACGATGGGCCGAATGGCCCCCTTCTGTGCTGTATAATTCTATGAACTGTAAATTAGGATTATTAAATCCTGGTATATATTCCAGGACAGGTCACTAAATCCTCTTCTATGGTGTCATATATCTAAACCCCTTCCTGGGCTAGATTCACTGACACCCACTCACTCTCCTTTCCTGTAGTTAGCTGGGTCGGTCCAGTCAGCTCTGCAGTTAACATCAGCCAAAGTAACGATCGGTGTCACAATGTAACATGAACTGTGACATTGTGACACCGTGGAAATCCACCATGGAAATGGGGTAATTCACATTGATTACACGAATACTAGTCACAACCCACTGAATAAATATTAAACCAGTGCCCAGGGACTGGCTGTAAAGCTGGGTATTTTGGGCTGGGCACTGACTGATACATTATTGCGGATGGAACCAGATAAGAAAAATGACACAGAGCTGCTCTCCTGCCAGAAGTGTTAAAAGTCCAGTTCTGGTTCTCTATTGGTTTAGAAATGCAACATTTGCTCTGATCTTTCCCCCAAACAACAACTTACACTTATATAGTGCCCTCGGCGCATGATTGCGTCTCAGAGCATTTAACAGCTTAAACAAATCACACCTGCCAAGCACTTTTCTGAATAACATCAGAAACTATAAACAACCAACTAACCAGCCAACTAACTAGCTAACTAACCAGCCAACTAACTAGCTAACCAAAAAGCCAACTAACTGCTAACCAACCAGCCAACTAACTAGCTAACCAACCAGCCCACTAACTGCTAACTAACCAGCCAACTAACTAGCTAACTAACCAGCCAACTAACTAGCTAACCAACCAGCCAACTAACTGCTAACTAACCAGCCAACTAACTAGCTAACCAACCAGCCAACTAACTGCTAACTAACCAGCCAACTAACTAGCTAACCAACCAGCCAACTAACTGCTAACCAACCAGCCAACTAACTGCTAACCAACCAGCCAACTAACTGCTAACCAACCAGCCAACTACCGAGCTAACTAACGAGATACATAGGCTTTGAGGGCACTCCAGCTGACCAGCAAACAACTATATTGTTCCATTCCAGATCGTCTCAAAGTGCTTCACGGAGTTTCTTTGAAGTGAAGTGACTCTTTACAGGTGAATACATTGCTTAACTCACATGGTAATGTTTTCTGCAAAATGACATAGATTTGGGAAGGCAGTGGGGGGCGACCGACTGACTTTTTTTAAAAAGGTCCCATTGCCCAACACCAGTCCTTTCACTGACCATTCATTCCTTCATCCCGTGCATGGACAGTACTGTGAACTAACCTGTGAATGAGGATACTCTGCACAGAGTCCAGCTCCTCCAGGCTCCTCCCCCTGCCCGGCCTTGCCAGGCTCCCCCTGCCCGGCCTTGCCAGGCTCCCCCTGCCCGGCCTTGCCAGGCTCCCCCTGCCCGGCCTTGCCAGGCTCCCCCTGCCCGGCCTTGCCAGGCTCCCCCTGCCCGGCCTTGCCAGGCTCCCCCTGCCCGGCCTTGCCAGGCTCCCCCTGCCCGGCCTTGCCAGGCTCCCCTGCCCGGCCTTGCCAGGCTCCCCCTGCCCGGCCTTGCCAGGCTCCCCCCTGCCTTGCCAGGCTCCCCCTGCCTGGCCTTGCCAGGCTCCCCCCCCTGCCCGGCCTTGCCAGGCTCCTCCCCCTGCCTTACCAGGCTCCTCCCCCTGCCCGGCCTTGCCAGGCTCCCCCTACCCAGCCTTGCCAGGCTCCCCCTGCCCGGCCTTGCCAGGCTCCCCCCCCTGCCAGGCTCCCCCTGCCTGGCCTTGCCAGGCTCCGCCCCCTGCCTGGCCTTGCCAGGCTCCGCCCCCTGCCTGGCCTTGCCAGGCTCTGTTTGCCAACATTGAACATGATTCCCTTCAGATCACATTATTGATCAAACGCTTACTTTTCCAGCACTGGTTGTGTAGCAATCCTCACCCATTCACTGCTCAATTAGCCATTATTACCCACATTGCTGGGAAATCCTCCTGTCACCTCGGGTCCAGACCGTCTCGCAACTAAACTATTCTGATGAGGTCTCACAGCTTGTTTCAGCAGAGGGACAGAATAACCTTCCATCCCCGCAGCAGCATTTTATTTTTTACAGTTTCATTCGTTCAAGCGAATAAAAGCAGTTTCTCTTGTCTGAAGGAGATTAGAGTTGACCCGCCAATTATCCAGGCCACAGCTGCCTTCAGCCACCAGTTCCTTTGAAGTCTGGGATACAACAAGTCTCTTATCCTGGGAAATGCTGCAAAGCTCTGGCGAGGGAAGCGCTCGTTCTGTGCAGCCCCACCTCTTCCACAGAGCAGGTGGGTGTTGTCAGTCCCTCCCACTCACCAAGTAGCTTCCCTACAGGTCCTCAAGCCCAACTATTTCTTTGCAACCGTTTACCATTTGATGTATTATTCATAATAATGCTTGCATTTGAGATAGGACCTTATCATGTCATCAAGACGTCTCAGAGTGCTTCACAGGCTATACTACAAACTGGATTGACTGTGTATTTTGCAAGCGAAATGCAGCAGCCAGTTGAACACAGCAATGTCTCACAGATAACCATGGTGTGAGTGACCAATTTTATTTGAGGAATTGTTGACCAGGACTCGGGAGAAACTCCCTTCTCTTTTTGAATAGTGCCATGGGATCTTTAACATCCGCTTGAACAGGCAGATAAGACCTCAGTTTAACATCTCATCTAAAGGATGGCAACTTTGACAATGCAACACACTGTACTGAAGTGTCAACTTAGAATATGTGATTCCAAGTGTTAGCCCACAACCTTCTGACTCAGAGACGAGAGTGCTACCACTACCACTATGCTAGGCTGATCCAAGACACCCTCCTCAGTGGCTGAAAGTTTGCTCTCACAAATTCATATGATCATGTACAGAAAGTAAAACGATGCCAGTGAACCTGCCCCAGAACCTCCTTATACCTTTGTGAGAATTATAGATCAGTAGCATGGCCTTTGTATTGTCTGGCCAAGATAAATGCTTCCCTCTAAACTGTGTATAGCATCACATTACTGTTTACATTTTTGTTTTAATTGATTCATAGTTTTACATTCTTTTATTATATATGATATTTATGTAATATTTTCGATCATCAAATACAATGTCCTCCTTAAGTAGAAGAACACAAAACAATTTGCTCCCTCACCCCACTTGTTCAAGGCCCGTCTAAAGACCCACCTCTTTGACCACACTTTGGGTCATATTTTCCCTCCCCACCCCCTCAGTTTCCACCCCCGGGTACGAAGCCAGGATTGTTAAGAGCCTTGGGATATCCTCCTGACATGAAAGGTGTAAATGTAAAGTTAATATTCATATATTATTAATATATATTAATATTGTTAATAAATTGATGGAAATTGAATAATGCCCCACTCTATTTTATCTTAGCTGTGTCTGTTTCGTCAGCCAAACATCTGACACATGCTGAAACCCATCACCGTGCCTAAGAGTATACAAATCAGACTGAGTTCAACATACCCATGCCATCTTTGCATGGATATTTCCCTGTGTATGGAATGCAGTGAGCACTCTCTCTCTCTTCCTGTCTGGTGGGATGCACTCTGGTTACTTAATTTTGGAAATCAGTACTTTATTTCACACAATGAAATGTTCACAAACTAATAAAACTCACCTTTCCTTAAGTGTAGCAAGTAACAGTGCTGTGCCAAGAGCTTTGAGAATTAAATGAGAAACACAGATTCACACTTGGTTGGTGTTTGGTGATTTGTATTATTCAAAATGTCTGCATCATTCCTTGTAACAATATTTATTATATTAATAGTTACAGGGAAGACAAGCAAGCTCTCAATAATAGTTACACAATTCTACATAGTATTCAAATTAGCCCTGTACTTAAATGAACAAATTAGTTTCCTTTTTAATTGCATCTCTGCTGTGCATAGTTCACATGAAGACAGAATGCATATTTAAAATGTAATTTTTTGCTTGAAGTGCTCGCTTTCCTGTGCAAAACACATGCATTGTATTGTGTTGAATCTTATTAGCTTTTATATCCGAAATAACATTCTGTGCAAATTTAATTCTGGGCAAATGCAAACAAAAATGCAGGAGGATTTAGCCGAAAATTCAACCAGTATATCTGCAGCGTAACAGCTGACTGGTGCCCTCTGCTGTTAAATCAGCATCAGGTGTTAATAAAATATCAAATTGTTCATTGGGTGCAACAACAACAAAATTACATTTGTATAGCGCCTTTCACATCGGGGGACGTGCGACGGAAGCAAGAAGTCTTCCAACAAGGCTACCATTTAAATAGTTAATTCAAAGATAACTGTTTTCCCCAATGTCAAATTTCCTGATATTCTTTTCTCAAGTCTTTCTGGCCTCAAAGTTTTGTTTCTGAGACAGCAAGCAAGGAGGTCATTAAGTTGTCCTTCTAGCTGCTTATTATACTCAGGTGCTTTCAAAATCATATATACTGTATCGATCAGTATCTACAGGAATAGTTTTCTTTCATTTTTAGCATCATCTGGCCCGAAAGTGGGCCTTGGGTGGGGGGAATGGGAGGTTAAATGGAGGAAGGAGCTGTTTGCATTGTTGTGCAAAGAACAACCCCCCAAGGGGCGAGATTCTTTGTCAGCAAATTTATGAACTTTGATGCTCATTTTCTACTGGTCAAATCTATAATGGTTTGATTTTATTAACACATTATAGCCAGATGCCAAAAGGTCAGTCAAATTGAACATGAAAGGAATTGCTCAATGTAAACTTTGATATTTTTCTGAATACATTAAAAACAGGTGTGTGTACATTTTGTGAATGAACATTTTTGTGCATAGTTTCTTTGAAGAGTTAAGGTCATTTTATACATGAAAGCATCAGACAAACTTAATCATGCTTCAGTGAGATATTAAGGCAAAATAGTGATTTGATAAGTTGGACATTTGCTTATTAAACCAATTTATACATAGTGTTCAACATATACAGTATATATGCCATTGTTAGCAGTGAGGTATGGTGGATATTTGTACAATAATAATAATAATCTTTGCATTTTTGATATAGCGCCTTATCAGGTCTTTGAGATGTCTCAAAGTACTTCACAGAATATATTGTAAAATGAATTTTATATTTTGTGGGTGAAAAGTGGGGCTAAGAGGACAACTTAATAATTCACATATAGGGTGCAGTAGTTTTACAAGTAATCACATCACACTGTCCTCCACATCATATTCAATACACTTGTGTTACTTTTTCAACTGGAAACAATAATTTTTTTTGACAATCTACCCTTTTTTTTAAACACATAAAAAATGAGTGGAAGCTGTTTTGAACATTGTGAGGTCTCTCTGATAGAAATTTGAAATTATTTTTGCTGATATTTTGCTAACATTATATTAGTACAGTACTGTAAAATGATGAAGATACAGCTAATAAGAAGCCTAAATTATAGATTAGAGAGCAATGCAAAAACAGTTGATTCATTTCATGCTTCGGTGTTAATGTGCTAGCATTATATGCTGTTTATTCAATCCCGTATAGTGTCCATCTCTTTTGTGTGGATATCATTTTAGACAAAAGTGACACAGGTTGTGCGTTCTGGTTACAAGTTTGACAAGCTGAAATTATACAGTGCAGCTCCGTATATAATGTGGAAATGTAGGCCCTTAAAATGAGTCTGTGTTATAGTTAGGGTGCATGACAGCATGGCAACTTGTACTTATTTCAGACATAACAATTGATATCACCAAGCCTGCTGCTCCTGCACATCATGCACAGGAAGCTGACTAGTCATCTACAATTGCAAATGTTTCTGAGGTTGTCAGAAGCCAATAGTATATCATGTGTACACTATGTTGGTCCCTATATCTGAGCCTGAGTTTAGTGAGGTGCACTATAATGGGGATGCACTGTAATCAGTTCTGATTTATTAATATTTTAAATGGGATTGAGAAAGTAAACAGAAGAATACTTTCAGATGCACCGAGATGGCAGAACAAGGGGATGCAGATTTGCAGTTGCAAAGGGGAACTTCAGCACAGAAAGTAAAGAAAGTGTTTCTTTACCCAGCGAGTAATTAATGACTTGTACAGGTTTCCAGGAAACGTGGCTTCATTTAAAAATAAACAGTGCTGTGATGGGAGGAGGAGATCAATGATGGGTTGAAAGGTGCAGAAGTAGTTTGAAACAAAGAAATATGAAGGGATTCACTTTGGTGAGAAGATTAAAGAAGCCTATTGCATTCTGGAGAGTAAGAACCTAAAAGGGGTAGAGAAGCAAATGGATCTAGGGATTCAGGTTCACAAGACTCTTACAAACAGCAACAAGAGTGGGCAAGGCCATAAAGAAAGAAAATAGAGTCCATGGCTTTAAGTCCAGAAGAAGCATTAAAAGAAGAAGTATTCAAAGTAGGGAAGTAATATTACATTTATATAAAACCTTGGGCAGACCATATTGGAATATTGTGTGCATACAATGGGAAGAATAGTGTACACTGGAGAGAGAACAGTGTCGATTTACTAGGAAATTACCAAGGATGAGCAGATACAGCTTAAAAAAAAATTGGACAGGCTGGAGATTTTCTTTCTGGAGAAGAAATTATTTAGAGGAAGCTTGGTTGAGAAATTTTGAATTAAGAAAGAATTTGATAAGGTGAACATTAATACATTGTTTCCACTTTGTGTCAGTAATATAGGGGCAGAAATATAAGAGAGCCACTAACAGAGACTTTTCTTTACGTTACAGAGAATGTGGAACTGTGGTTGAAGCAGAAAGCATCAATATATTTAAGAGGAAACTTGATGTATAGGTGATGGAGAAGGAAATAGAGGGGTATAGAAGATGGGATTGGGAGGGGTGTGGGCTTGAATGGAGTATAAACCGTCACAGACTAGTTAGGCTGAAAGGCCAGTTTCTATACTGCAACAGTCTATTTAATAAAAGGGCTGAATGACCTTCTTCATCCAAACCTTTATTGTGATCTTGTGAACATTTCAAAGTGACTGATCCAGGAAGAGGAAATTACAGGAACATTTAACAAGATAGCAAAAATTAATGGCTTGTTAGTGCCACAAAAACCAGGCATCAGGAGGGACCCAGGAGTTTATTCGTGTCTCACTAACCTGCTACAGTAATTTTCCTGATGTCTGATATTCCTCATGGTCATAGCCTTGAGAACCTTAAGAATTTTTGAAAAAAATTAAATTCAGTCTTAAGTTATCAGGTGTGGAAAAAATCCTAGCAAATTAAGACTGAATTTAGGAATTTTACAAACAATGGTCAGATAATGATGTTAGAAATCTACAGCACAGAAGAATGCCATTCGACCCGTCGTGTTAAAGACAAAGACCGCAAGACGTTTTGAGTCTCTGCCCCTGTTTTTCGGCACCGAAAGTGGTCAATTGGCCCATTTGTGCCACGAGTTACAAGTGTAGTCCAGCCTTGTTTTAATGTGCTTCATCATACCATAGGTTCAGATATAAAATAGCAACACCCTGTACCCCAAACTTGTTTTTATATGAAACTTGAAGTATATAGTGTGAATATAAACACAAATTATTTCATGGTATTACAACATGGGCGTGATAATACATAACTCACAAGCCAACATTTGCAACACTCCAAGGTTGGTTGAAGGATGACTGGGACATAAGGAGAAATCCCTGCTTTGCTTTGAAATAATGCAATGGGATTGTAAATCTCACCTGAACAGGTGGGATCTCAGTTTAAAGTTTCAGCTGTTTTGTCTTACTTCTGTTTGAGGAGTGAAATCTGCATGTGCAATGGTTCAGTTAGTACCTTATTAGAAGATTAAGTGACATTGAATTGAATCACCTACTTGTATCCTTGGGAAAATCCATAACTTTAACATTTAAACCAATTTGCTCCTTATAAGCAGTTATCATTGTTGCCATTGTTGGAATTGCTGTTCTGATATGGTGTTAGTTACCAGCAAATTTGGTGTTAGTTTACAGGTTTGTGCTTCCATCCTTCATATGCTGTATGATGCCCGATATGTTTGACCAAGTCTCCCCAGTGCTATTCAGATGATGCACAGTTCCTCCAGGGTCATTACTTTGTCCTCCTTCTGTGGCTCGATGAGGTGAAAGAACTCCAGCAGGTTCAGTTTAACCCCCCTGTTAAATGGATTTCGAAACTGTGCATTCTCATCATGAAGGTAACTGTACTTCTCCTGGTTCATGCGTTCATTTGTTGTTAGATTGATTGCTGCCATATACAGCTAGAAGACAGTGAAAGGGAACAGTCAGGAGCATTTATAATGTAAAATACATTTCGGCAGGTTTGTAAAGATTTTTTATTCTGGGTCACATGTTATCCTTTTTGTGTGTCAAGCTGACTCAGTTGGTAGCATTCACACCCCTGTGTCTGAAGCTTGTGGGTTTAAGCTCTACACTGGACTTGGAATTCATATAGTTTAGATGACCATCCAGTGAAGTGCTCCAATGGAGTGCTGTTGGGAGTGCTGTCTTTTGGGTGAAGTTAAACCAAGACTGCGTTTGCCTATTCAGAGGGACCTCAAAGAGGCCATGGCACAAATTAAAAAGAGAAGGGAGTTTCTCCTACTGTCCTGATCAATAAACCCCCAAATAAAATTGATAATTCACTCCGTGGCTCTTTGTGGACATTGCTGTGCACAATATTGGCTGCCATGTTTGCTCCTAAAAGACCCACAATCACTCAATTTTACAATATATCCTGTGAAGCGCTTTGGGACATCCACCTGATGTGAAAGGCGCTGTATCAAATGCAAGGATTATTATTATTTGTGCATTTTTTAAAATCCAATTTTGAAGCCCAACATGCACTCTTAGGGCAAATAATAAAATCACCAGATGCAATTTACATCTCCACTGTATTGCGGTGTCACTGCATCTCTCAGCAGAGCAGAACTTTAACTTCAGTGGAGGAAAGAACCAGTCAGGTTTATTAGCTGAATAGTTGAAACTTCATTTGTAAAAGAAAAGTATTTTAACTGGTTCTATAATTTGTATGAAAATATATTAGCTTAGAAGAGGCACAGCTTGACACACAAGTAATGCTTTTAACCCACACCATATCCTGTATGAAAGATTAGCAGACAATGTCTCCAATGTGGAGTCCTGTAGCTCAGTGGTTAGAGCACTCGCCTTGCGACACATTGAGACACCTGGGTTCAATTCCAGGCAGGGCGAAACCTTGGGCAAGTTTCCTTATTCCACACGCCTAATAATAATCCCTCCAAAAACAAAAACAATAATATATTGATCATTTTCAATCTACGACTGTTTGTGGGACATTGCTGTGCGCACTTGGCTGCCGCGTTTCGCCCACAAATATACGGTCAATTCACTTTACAGTCTATTCTGTGAAGCGCTTTGAGACATCGAGAAGATGTGAAAAGCGCTATATCAAATGCAAGGATTATTATTATTATCCATCTAGTTATATGATCTATTAAAAATCATATAAAAGTAGCCAATATATTGTATATATATCAACAAAATAGATAATGTTGCAACATGCTGTAAATTCTCAGAAAAGCACTCTGCAAGGTATTAAGTTAGGAGCTTTTCATGTGAGAATAACACATTCTTTGTGCCATACATTGGTACAGTGGATGAATTAAGCATTTATTAGGCACTTCTGCTTACATGTATTGCATTAAGAGAAACAAGAATAGAAATTAAGGTGTTTTTGACACAGAATAGGAAAAAGTGAGTGCAAACAACCTGAGAGGCAGATACGATACATACACACACGCAGGTCATCATTGCTGAAATGACTGCAACAACTGAGAGGAAGATGAAGCCGATTCCTATGAATATGCTACGCCCCATCACATTAAACCAGTCACAGCAGAAGTAGATTCCCATCACACTGTTAAGGCACACTGTAGCCAAGAAGCCAAAAAAGTGAGTCCTACAAAAATATGAACACAATAATGTTTGTGATTTCAATATTCTGAGCATAAACCTTCAAGTTGTTTGTTGCATCCCTGGGTTACATATGTGGATGTATATCTGTACATTGCACTGTGGGTGTCATTCTTATGTTATTAAGTATAACACTAATTTATTACACTAATATATATATAACAAAGTTAATATTTAGAAAACAAACTCTTATCCTACAAAACCAAATTCCTTAAGCACCACTTTCTTTACAATGTAAACTATCTGTTATGAGACAAGGTTCTATTACAGAAAAATGTAATCTAAATACATATGGGAAATGCAACAAACTGGCTGGAAAGACATTTAATAATATAATAATCCCTGCATTTGATATAGCGCCTTATCACGTCTTCGAGATGTTCCAAGGTGCTTCACAGAATATACTGTAAAGTGAATTGACTGTGTGTTTTGTGGGTGAAACATTTCCCCCAGACGCAGAGACAGATGAGCAAAAATTCAAGTTGCTGGCCCTCAATAAAAAGTAACTGGTTACTTTAAAGTCCAATTTCAATCAGCCCTCCAAATAAAATCACATTAAATTAAATCAAATACAAATATTACAATAGGTCCTGCAACTAACACAAATATAACTGTTGACAGCTGCTGCTTTTTCAAGTATCAAAATTAAATTCTTCACTTTCTTGAAATCCTATGAAACTTCATTACTTTCAGGAGAGACTTAAAGAACAAATGTTTATATGCTCTCTTTCTGTTTTGCTTTTGGATCTACTGCTTGGTTAATTAGTGTTTCCAATTGTTTTAGTTTTACCATGAAAGGCCAGACCCTATCTCTAACTGAAGCTGGTAAAACAACTGACAATGCTGAGATTTTAAATAATAATGCTGTTACTTAAGGTGCCCATACCGGTTTCTGCAGCCTACATCATTGTAGATGTAAGGACAGTAATGGTCAAAGTAGTCCACACAACGGTTAGTGACCCGACAGTGCTTGGATCGAAGGGGCTTCACGAGCTGGCATACGTGACACAACCGGCTCAGTGGGTTTTGTCCTCGCTTCCAGTGATCAAAATAAACCGCCTGAAAAATACAACAAACTGTATAATGTTCTGGACATGCAGCATAACATATGGACACACGGCATAGTGTAAATGGACTAAGATGGATAAAGAAAGATCCAAACAATCTTCACTTGTGTTTACCCTCTAGGCATCACTTTGAACACTTAAAACTTTGCCGACTTGGACCTGGTTTGAGTTGTAGAGAACGTTAACAAGGTTCCAAGATCCATTTATAGATAAGTTCAAAATAATAATCAATCTTTAAATCATTCCAGTTCTAGAGTGTCAAACAAACAGTGATTGAGGTGGTACTTCCACAGATTTCTGTGTGTTGGCTTGATCCTGCCATTCACTTCAATGCTGAGCTTGCAAACTCATGGGACGAGTTGAAGGACTTCGATTTAGACCTGATTTTGAACTTCTCAGCTGCTCACTCTCAGATGGTGCAGTGAAACCCAGGAGAAAGGGGTCAGGGCATTCCACTGTAAACTGAGAAGTTTGCGAAAGGATTTATTTGTACTTTTACGAGTATATATATTTTATATATCCCGGTTGTTAGTCAATTGATGGATCACTTTCCAGGGATAATAATGCCTCAAAAAAAAGTACTCAATTCACTCAATCAGTGACTCTTTTGTGGGACATTGCTGAATCAATTGGCTGCTGTGTTTCACCCACAAAAAACACAGTAAGTTAAACTCTAGTCATCTGAATGCAGAGCTTGGGCTAGTTCCCAGAAGAGCGGCTTCAAAGGTATGAATGTTTTACTGCAAGGACACTGATCCTGGCAAGAGCATCTTCCCACAACAGACAGAGAAACCAGTCTCTCACAACACTTCACCAAAACACTCAAACTTCCCACTTGGAAGGCCAATATTCATGATAATCTTTGGATTTGATATGATGCCTATAATGGGAAAAGTTTTACAAGTAATTGATTTCAAATGCAGTCTTTGTGTATTTTGTAGGTGAATGTGCAGTCAGTTTACACACAACAATGTCCCACAAATGGTTATGAAATAAAGGCCCAATTTATCTGTAAGATTGCTGGCCAGGATACCAGGGGAAATTCCCTTCTGTCTTCTGTTAATGTCATGGGATATTTAATAATAATAATCCTTACATTTGGTATAGCGCCTTTCATGTCGGGAGGAAGTCTCAAAGTGATTCACAGAATATACTGTGAAGTGTGGTCAACACAGGCACTATACTTCACAGTATATCCACCTGAACAAGCAGATGAGTACTCAGTCTAAAATCTTATCGAAAATCTCTAACATTAAAATCTCTAACATTGCAATGCCTCACCAGGATTGCAGTATCAGTACAGAAATTTGCAATGAGTGGTTTGAACCCACAATCTTCTGATCCAGACGTGAGAGCACAGGCAGAAACGTCATTCTTTTTCTGAGTAGGGCCATAGATCTTTAACATTCAGATGGCAGCTCAGTTTAATGTCTCATCCAAGAATGGCACAACCAACAATATTGATAGCTGGTCCAGTAGGATATTGCCTTGTTTCTAATAGTTGCTAGATTCCTCAAAACTGGAACATGCAAATTCCTATAAGGTTTTTATACTGGAGCTGTGGCAATACCTAATGTTCTGATTTCAATGTGCAACTTCAGAGTTCCTGAAATTATAAATCAATTGATATGATTGAGTTGTATTACACATTCTGTGCACACACTTTGCTATCTGGAACTCCCCTTGTTTAATGACATCTGAAAATGTATGTCCTTAACTGCACTTTTGATCATATTGCTCCTCCCATGCCCCGCACCCACCTCCAACTTAGGTACCCATCCAGCATTATCAAGTGCTTTGAGACGTCCTTCTGACATGAAAGGTGCTGTAAATTGTATTGTGATCAATGTCATGCTCCTTTCTGCAATATAACTGGAGCATAACCCATGTTTCATTAATTAGGCCACAATTAATTGCCATATCCTGACATGTTATCAGGCTCAGAAACTGTTCCAAACAGTCCCTAATGAGATCGCTGTGAGGCATTCAAGCAAACCAACTTCCATCCTAAAAAATTACAGAGCCAGAAATAAAATGCATTTGGAAATAAAAATGGAATGTAAATTGCTCAATTTCTTTATGGTTTTGAGATGATGAGTGTCAGTTCCTTGGAAATGGGTTGCAGTTGCTTTAAGGAATTTATCATGCTGCTGCTGATCTAGCAGGTAGCAAAAGGCTAAAAATGGCTGAACTCAGCGCAGTCCTGCCCCCAAATCTACAAACCAGCAGTTACCTTTGACTCTGCAGTGACTGTCTCCGAAATGGGGAAAAAACAGGACAAGGCCAATTTGAACTATGACATTGGAACATTTAGTCCCTTGAGCCTGTTCCACCATTCTGTTAGACCATGGTTGACTCTTTCAACAGCATCCAGCAATATTGCTCTTCAACATAAACATTATTACTGTAATGTTAACCCTAACCTACTTAAAGAAACATCGACCAAAAACAAACTATTTTAATAAATAAACCATTTTAAAAAAACTTTGCTTGTGCTCATCCTTTTCCTTCTATTTTCTCTTTGTCCTTTTTTAAAAATATTTTCTCTTCCCCTTTTTCCCTAATAAATCAGATTTGGTCAGATTTTTCACGTCGAAAAGAGAAAGTGATCATGGTGAATGGATAAACATACCTGCCTTCTAAGGGTTAAAATGATTTGGTGAAAAATATCAATCTTATCTGAATGTTACACAGCACAATCTATGAATGGAGCCATAGAACATTCAAAGTCTCTGAACAAAAATTAGAAACTACAAACCCTTCTGATTCATTATTTGTAAACAGCCAATTTTTAGCCATGTTGTAAAACCCCGGATTCTGTTGGAGTGTGTTATTCATGTCAAAAGATGAAAATCAAAGTGAAAACATTTGATTAAAACAATTCAGTGAAAATTGTTTTAAAAAAAAGTCTGGCTGATTTGTGTTTTTTTCTCATGTTAAAGGTAATAATAATAATCCTTGCATTTGATACAGCACCTTATCAGGTCGTTGAGACATCTCAAAGCGAATCACAGAATATACTGTAAAGTGAATTGACTGTGTATTTTGTGGCTGAGACCTAATCAGAGAACACTACAACATTTTTCATAGCACACCTTCAAACAGCCTCCTTTTATTTTCCAGTGGCCAGCAAAATAAATGAGAGTGAGTGTGGTACTAGGAATCTGTCTGAATTAGACAACTGTGCAGTCGCAGGATTCAAAGATCATATAGAATTATCATCCACACACATCCTGATGAGCACCAAGGATGACTGCAAACAATGCACATGCAATTGTGGAAAGTCAGAAAATAAATAGGAGAATTTGGATTATTTTTTATACAGAAAATCAGTTTTTATTAATTAACTTTCATCAAAAAATACAATTATTGATGATGAAAGTTGTTAAAAACTGATTTGAAGATCCCCAACTATTTGGTACAGAAATGTTAGCGCTGTCCTGAAGGTATTTATTGAAAAGAACAATTCTGCACTTCTGTTTTTACCCAAGCTGCAGCAACCTTCATTTTTCATTATCAAAAGCCTTTTCAGGGTGTGAATTGATCTGATTGAGACAAGTTGGCATCAACTGAAACTTCAGATAGATATCCAAAAGAAAAGTTTGGTCACAATAGCACCATCCCAAAAATCGTAGCTGATCATAAGCAGAGTCAAAATATGTGAGGGAAGAGAGCAGGCAGCAGGGAAAGAGTAAGGCCAAATCAGGCACTATCTAGCTGTGTTTGGCTCAGTTGGTAGCACTGTCGCCTCCGAGTCAGAAGGTTGTGGGTTCAAGCCCTATGTCAGCACTTGTTTTCGCTCCCTCTGCTCAGCAGGCTCCAGCCTGCTTCACGTTCCCCGCCTTGCTCGCCTCACTATCGGTGGGTGGGCCTTCCGCCACTCTGCACCCACCCTCTGGAACTCCATCCTGCAGTCCCTCCGGCTCGCCCCGTTCCTCGCCACCTTCAAGACCCACCTCAAGACTCCCCCCACTGCCCTCCCCCACCCCCACCCTCAGCTCGGGTCAGTAACTCTGTTTGTCAAACGCCTTGGGAAGAGGGTAGGCAGCAGGGAAGGAGCAAGGCCAAGTCAGGCACTATCTAGCTGTGTCTGGCTCAGTTGGTAGCACCTTGGGATGTCCTCCTGACTTGTAAGGCGCTATACAAATGTAATTTTGTTGCTGTTGTTGTTTGTTGAAACTCATTAATTCTCTGCTGACACTCCAGTGCAGCGCTGGGGTTGCTGTACTTCTGAAGAGAGGGCTTGTTCAGTTGGATGTTAAAGATACGATGATGCTGTTCAAAAAGAGAAGTGAGTTTCTCCTGGTGTGCTAGCCAACAATCCCCCAAATAAAAAATAATTACATGGCTATTTATGGAAACACTGCTTTGTGCAAATTGGCTGCTACATTAACCTTTACAGTATATCCTGTGAATAGTTTTGAGATAACTCCTGGCAAGAAAAAGTGCTATGCCAAATGGAAGTATTATAATTAGTCTAGGTATACTCCCCATTACTTTGGTACCAACAATCAAAAATCTGTTTTATGAAAATAAAAATCTTCATTTCCGCAATTTTACTAGTAATACTGGCCAGCTAATCAATTCAACAGAGCCGCTCCATCCCCATGGTTGCTGGTGTCACACATGGTAACAACACAGAGCTGGTAGACTGAGCAGTCATTTTTGGTCTGACAAAATGTCAGATAAGGACAAAAACAAAAGGGCCCAAAAAAGTTTGAAGGGTTGAAGAAAAATATTAAATTGCGAGGCTTCCTTTGAGCTTGTCAATTTACATTTACATAGTGCAATTTGGTGTATTACCGAGGGAATCTGATGCATTTTAAAGCAAAAATACATTCTTCAATCAATCCATTTTTGGATTTTTAGTGACTCTCCCCAAAATGTCCAAAATCAAATACAATTGTGAAAATACATTCAGCTGTCCAATCATTTTCCAATGTCAATTTATTACAAACCCAGCAAATATAAAACATTAATTATATACTTACGGAATATTTGTTTCTAGTCTGTATTGATGGAAGAGATTTGTATTTTAAAATGAGAAACTATGACATCCCTTGTATGGAGACATTTGCTGGTGAAACAGTCACAGTAATTCCCTCCAGGCTATACGTTCCTTGCCCTAGGAGATGGATACCTGTCTAATGGCACGATAGTATTCCTCGCTGTCTCTTAGAAGAAAACCAGGATCCATCAGGGAAGCTTTTAGGAAGAGATACCACATCAGTGCATTGCCAATCAAGAAGGTGATATGGAAGCCCAAGAGCTTGTCCAAGGAGATCGAGACAATCTGTACAATTCAATAAACAAGTAATCAGTGGCAGTGAATTCATTTGTCTCTGATTTGCATAAAACCTAATAGTCAATGTATTTATTTTGAGGTAGACAACTGAGAATCTCCAGTCAAGGAGGCAGAAAAAAACAGGGAGTGGTTTAGTAACTAGCTTCTGACTAATAATAATAATAATCATTCCATTGACATAGCACCTTTCACATTTCATGTCCGGAGGAAGTCTCCAAGCTCGTCACAGGGTATAATGTAAAATGAAGTAACTGCATTTTTTTAAGCAAACATGGCAGACGATTTGTGAAAAGTCCCACAAACAGCCATGTAATGAATGCCCATTTTTTATTTGTGGGATTGTTGTCCAGCAACTCGGAAAAACTCCCTTCTCTTTACGAACAGTGCCATGGGATCATTAATATCCACCTGAACAGGCAGATGGAACCTTGGTTTAACATTTCATCCAAAGGACGGTACCTCCAACAATGCAATATACCCCAGTATTGCATTGGGAGTTTCAACCTAGACTGTGAGTTCAAGTCCTGATGCGGGGCTTGAATCTACAACCTTCTGACTCATAAGAGGCGAGAGTGCTACCAACTGAGTCACCTTCACATCTCTGTATGGTGTGAAAATGCCAGGCGGTAATTACATTTAAAATTATGATACAATGGGATCTAATCTGCCCTATTTCTTAACAAGGTTCCTTAACAGGTAGATTGGGTTGGAGTTGGCATGACATACTTCTGTTTATTTTGTGTGAGTTCCTATTTGAACCCCCAAAATTTTTAACTGAACAATGTTACAAACACTTAGGTAAAATGTGTTATTCATGAACCTTGGTTTTGGTGCTGGAGGTGGACGGTGGAAATCATTAGATATCCCTCTCTCTTCCTTGCTCTCCACAAACCCGCCTATTTCATTATGTAAAGGTGAACAAAACTTTAGGCAAACTACATATCAAAGTATTGGGTCATAAAGCAAAGTCTTGTGAGAAATTGGCAAGACAATGGCCGAATGCTGCTCGACTGTCACTTTGTGATATCCTAACCGACTTACCCTTGTGAAATAAGATGGGTAGCCCCATAACAAAATGCAGCCGTAAAAGAAAAGAACTGGTCCTTTTGACTTTTCAGGTGGGCCAAAGATCAATGCACTGCAATGAGGTAAAGAAACTGGATGAGAACAGACAGGCACTGACTGCTGGAGAGGCACTTCCACCTACAGATTGGATAGAATTGTAGGAAACAGACAAAGTCACAGTAACATTCTTTATGTTGCCTTTTACAACAAATATTTCAAACCATATACAGATTAGTGAAACTCTGATAACTCATCCCTGGGATAAGTCATCAACCCCACATAGCTTGTCACTCACTCAATATCCCAGTTATTTGAGTTCGGTAAAACTTGCACATGTCTGATCTGTATAAATCTTATAATCGCCAAAGTCATACATCTCTTTGAGGCCCATTCAAGATTTTATATCCTATGCAAGTTTGACATATCTCGTACTTTGCATAAGACATATTAAATATATTGTCCCAACTAATATGACTTATGTAAAGTTTATTGTACTCGAGACTGTACTTTGGATAACTAGTCATCTCTGCTAAGTAGTCATTTGAGCTATTTCCCTTGGGGTGACGAGTTATCAGAGTTTGACTGTATATGAAAGATGTTTACTCTCTACTCTTCCACACGCCATCACCCTAAGAGGGATTCCCTGCTGGCTCAACCCATCCCTGACCTCTCTAAGATGTCTGCATCGATAATCGGTTGTGGCTCACACAATCTCTGCCCTGTCAGCCCAGGAGGGTGGAGCAGGTGAATGCCGAAATTTAAAATAGGAAGTACTAACTTTGCTACACCCTGAATATCCACCCTGCCATTCAGTTTATCAGTACAAACATAAACATAGCAGCACAATGTGGATGGAAGGAAAGAAAGCTTCTTACTTCCTTACACTCGCCACCTGTAAAATTGACAAATATTACTTTTCTGCTTTTATTATTATTGATTTCTACATCATTTCTATTGCTGTTATATGTACTGTTTTGATAACTCTTGTGTCATCTCAAATCAGTAATGCCACTCTGACTGTTTGTAGGGTTATCCTTATAAAGTCGTCAATCCATCTTTGTCTCGTGCCAATATTCTGCTCAAAGTTACTGCTGCTGTGATGCCAATAATTTGCTTGCTGCGTATCCCTATAATTGTGAACAATTTATTCACAAACTCTATCCCTTGTTTGAGGTGGGTAAATTCTGTGTTTATAAGATGAGGTATGTTAGCGCTGGCAATCCAGTGTTAGTATCAGGAATTCTCAGATCATGTGTACTCCAATTCAGAGTAAGGCTTTCTCTGTTCTACGTCAATACTATCAACCTCCTCAGCAGATTACTCTTACTGCACTAGTACGACATTCCCCACATTAGCTGTGCTGTAGTCCTTCTGAGTGAGATTGTCCAACTTAGGGGAATGTTGTGCTAGGAATTGGGCTGAGACCTTGCAAACTATTTAATATATAGGACCCATACAAGCAAAAGACTAAGGAAAATGTCACCATCTGTCTGGTGATGTGTCTGAAATGGTTTGAGACACAGGTCTCAGAACAGAAAGACCAGTCCCCAATCAATATTTTGAAAGAAACTGTGTGGATCGTTACTCAGGCTGTTGTGCCTTTCATTGATAATCCTCACCTCATCCAGCTCATACCTTTATAAGTCCAACTTAACTAATATATGTAATTTTCAGGGTTTAAACATTCTCATACGTTCTCTTGCTTTAACCACACTGTGGAGTTATACAAAGCAGTAGGCTGATTTAATTTGGTGCAATGTTACACAGGAATTAAAACAACACTTGCATCTATACTGCCCTTCATGGAGGAGAGCACCCTTCACGCAGGATAGGTCTCAGAGCGCTGAAAATAAGATAAATATCGGAATCAGTAAGTGCATGACATTTATGTATAATCTTGGTAATATCAGGTCATTTTTGTACATGGATTACTGTCACGTTTAGATGAAAAATATTCTGGTTGCTTTGTACTCATTTCAATAAAACATTACCCTGACTCTGCCTTCTTCGTTATATTTCTGACTGAAAAGGTCACAGCACGTCCTCCTAGAATCCTTGCAGCACACACAGTTAAAGGACACTGGACTCTGCAGCAGTCCAGTAAAAGCTGCTGCGATATCAGATACGAGATCACATTTAGTCTACACAAGCATTTCTTGTTACAGCGCCTTGGGACATCCTCCTAACGTGAAAGGCGCTTTACAAATGTAATTTTGTTGTTGTTACGTATATTATAAATATTAATTTTCAGGTTAAAAAGCAAAGTTTTCTTGACACCAGGTTTTCTCTATGTATACTATGTGTGTGCTTCAAAAAGATGGTTCTAACCTGGTTCCCTGTCTAACCACAAGGAATACTGTGAAACTGAAGGCAGACCCATCAAATTTGACAAGAAACCGGAATCGACTTTAAACACTCCTATTATTAATCCTAACTATCCCCTTACAAATATTTCCTTTATTAAAACAATGTATGCAGCTTCCTTTCAATCAATAATTTCATTTTTCTTTTGTTAACTCCAATATGAACAACGTTGACAACATACATATATATTTATGTACTTTGATTAAAGTGCCATAATATGTGAAACTTCTCAAAGCCCTTCATGCAAGGAGTTACTTTGAGATGTAGTGACTACCACGAAGGCCCACATCTGAATGATGGCAACATGCCACACACTGCAATAATAATAAGAATCTGCTTCTTGGCCAATTTCACCAGGAAACCAAGAGAACTTTTAATAGTGTTAAGACAAAATAGTGTCATAGGATCTTTAACATGCACCAAAAACATATTATCAAACATATATTTTATTTTGGGAAAGGGTATATTTCTTCCTTAAATTAAATTGAACAACTGTATTAACTAATGTCCTTTACCTCCAGTCAAACCTTGGAATCAGACTGTTTGATTGACCGATGGTCTTTTCTAAATGCATGACTATGTCTTTGTTCTGTCGACTCCTTGCAAGTTTCAGAGGTATGTTGCCATTTATATCTTCAGTTTCTAATGCTATCCCATCCTGGAAGATGAAAGAAGTAGAATTTACAATTCTTGCAGCAATAAGAACATAAGAATTTGCTAGGCGAAAGAAGGCCAAGGTCCATCCAGTTTACCTTCTACCAACCTGGCAGTCGCATATCATGTCCTAAACTATATATTGTATCCCGAGATATTATTTCCTAACAGAAATCTATCTAATTTGTTCCATTGCCCAGTGGAAGCTTTTGATGCAGTTATAATTCTTTCATTTGATATAGAGCCTTATCACGTCATTGAGATGTCTCAAAATGTTTCATAGGATATACTGTAAAGTGGATTGACTGTGTATTGTGTGAACGAAATGCAGCAGCCAGTGGCACACAGCAATGTCCTACAGACAGCCATGGAGAGAATGACCAATTTTATTTGGGGATTGTTGGCCAGGACACCGGGAGAAGCTCCCTTCTCTTTTTGAATATTGCCATGGGATCTTTATCATCCACCTGAACAACCATGCTGCTGACATCAGAGGACGAAGAGGTTAAGCTGGGAATGAGAAAGAGTGAATGGAAATGAAAAGACCATATTTCTGGTGTGGCCTGTGAACTTTGTACTGTGGTGAACATCTTGGGGGGTACCAGTTACAGGTAAAGTTACAAGAGTAAGTAATCTAGGATGTCTTTTGGGATTGCTACACTTTTTAGTAAATGTAATAAGAAAAACCTGTCATGTTGATGTGTCTCAAAGTGTTTCATAAATAAATAATGCTGAGTATAATGACTCTTTTGTACACAGATGTGGTAGCAGTTTGTGGCTATACAATTCCAAGAGGTGCATAAACAAAATGGAGGGTTTTGACCAGAATGGTGTTGTGGAATAATTAAAACAACAGGGCGATTGGGACCTTGGTTGAACATCTCATATGAAAAATGGCATCTCTTGACAGTGCAGTGCTCTCTATGCACTGGAATGTCAGCCTAAACTGTGAGCTCAAACTGTTGACATGAATCTTCAACCCACGAGCTTCTCACCCAGAGGCTGGAACTGCTACCAACTAAACCAGGCTGACACATTGGCAGGTCATACCTACAATGCAGTGACAAGTTGTGCCAGCCAGAAAGATAGATGGCAATGATAGATTCAATAAATCTACAAGAGGGAGGTAAATGCACCAATATACTTGATCCCCACACTGGCGACAGGAGTTACTTCAGGCATCAGCATTAACTGATTTATTTTTCTGCTTCCAGGTGTACTGACTGCCATGCACCTCTCTGGCTGAGCCAGCCTGCCATAAAATGTATGTATAAAATAGCAATGCTGACTTGCTTCAGAGAATAGGATAACATAAAATCGTAACTTGGTGAAGCAAACTCACAAATGTGCAGTAGTTTTTACATGTCCAACAGTGTTTCGGTTTCTTCTACAAAGAGCAGTGATCTTGGGGGACAAAATACCAGTTCTATTTGAACCAAATTAGGAGTCCCCATCAAAATAAACATGTCACAGGTTCAAGCAAAGTGCTCCTGGAACTCTGAGCAACACATACCTCATCACATCTCTCTTTACATGGGAAAGTATTAGGGAAACACCTTGAGATTCTTATCCTACGTGTAAAGGTGGTTCAGTTCAGTGTGATCCTGTTATACAGTGTACTGTGGGAATAATATTAATAATGATAATAATAATCCTTGCATTTGATATAGCATCTTATCACGTTATTCAGACGTCTCAAAGTGCTTCACAGAATATACTGTAAAGTGGATTGACTATATATTTTGTGGGCGAAATACGGCAATCAATTGCGCACAGCAGTGTCCCACAAACCCCTTCGTGGATTGAGTGACTATTTTTTTTTGGAGGGATTATTACTGCCCGGAGAACGATCCACCAATTGACAGATGGGTTTCTACTCACTGCTAGGTAAACAGAGGTGTGTGGAGTAAGGAAACTTGCCTAAGGAAATATTGTGGACTAAAAGTGTGCAGACGTTTATACTGGGGAAGCTTCTCGTGCTGACTGGCTGGCTTTCTGTGCAAAATGCAAAGGCAACCCAGCAACATTGGAAATACTCAGGAGAAGTCTCTGCTGGCCAGTGGCTTATTTCACATGTGCACAGCAGGGCTCATCAGCAACATTAGTGGCAAGATGACAACCAGTAAATGCTGATCATTGGCCACAACAACAACTTGCATTTATATAAATGCCCTTCACGGAGGGTAGTATCTCAGAGCCACACGAAAACACAGCCATAGCATAGGGGCTCAATAGACTCCAACCGTCAACTATATATATTGCAAGTTGTTTTTCTTGAAAAGAAGCAGATTGGACAGAATTTGTTTATCAATGGTACATTTGCAATGGAACTCAAGCATGGTGTGAAAGTCAGAAATGCTCTGCTTATTGTTCAAAATGCAGTGTCAATTCACTTTACAATATACCCTGTGAAGGGCTTTGAGACACCTCAATGATGTGATAAATGCTATATCAAATACTATATTATTATTTCAAGAACAGCTCCTACCAGCACGTGCCATGTTAGCTGGAGGTGTTGCAGAAAGATTCTCTGACAGGAAATGCTGAGAAAATGTTATGTGAACAGGGTCAATGGGAGAAAATCTGGAGCTCAATCCTTAAATATGTGCCTGGAATGTTTTGGTACATATCAAATGCCAGAATGAATACCAGCAGGAATATATTAGAATAATTACTCAGGCAGAATTTAAATTTGTGCTGTTTGAATCTTTGAAGATGATAGTCAGAAAAGGAAAGAGGAAATCCAAAAGGAGAAAATATCTTCCAATTCTGTGTCTTTTTAATCAGATGATGGCAATGCTCTTACGCATTTCATGTTGGTACTTACCATCTACCTCGTGAGGGCTCATACCTACGCTTGCCAGATGTCAAGCCAACCTGGCTCATCGGCAGGACCTAGAAGGTCAGATCAGTCACTGGGAAGAGGGAATCATCCCACTCAGTTAACCTTGCAAGCCAAAGCCCTAATGGGAAGAGTGATCCTACCTGGCAAGAAGTAGGAAAGCTTGCTGGACAGCAATATCAATGGTAGGCTATGCGGTTTTAGCTGGTCAGTTTCTAGCAGTACCCAACACACACTCTGGGGTCTCCAAGCCTTGGCTCTTGCCAACCTGCACCTAATCCGAAATTAGGTAAGCAGGATGAGTCTCTCCAGGGAGAGAGTGCATATTCCATTCCAACAATCTATCTCTGGGATTTCCATGTGTAGGTGGGATGCATGGAATTCTCAACTTGGTTTGGATACTCCGAAGCATTTGTGATGGGTTTCCTCCTTGTGTCAGACACCCGACTGACCCCCCAAAAAAATTCACCACATTGCATTGGAACAGATTCCTGGGAATTTCTGAATGTGGTTGCCAAGGGGTTGGGAAATAGGAGATAGATGATAGAAAGTGTGGTCAAAGATATAGGTCTTGAGATGGACCTTGAACAAGTCAGAGATATCTCAATTAATGAACAGCCCCATGGGGAGCAATAGTATAAATATCCTGATTGTTAAAAAGAATTGTTTTATATTTAAATGTTTCACCTGATTAAAGTTTGCATTCATTGTTTCTACCTTACCTGGTCACACAGCACCTGGACTGTGAGGAAATCCCCACTCAGGACAGCTAAATGTAGCGGGATCTGTAAAGCAAGCACAACCATATTAGATTACTTCCATCTGTGCTTGTGTGTGAATCTTCGCGGTCTTCCTTGATTCTCTGGAACTCTATCCAAGAGCCCCTCATCCTCACTCCCGCTTCCCCCTCCCAACCTCCACCCACCCTTCCTTAATCTCACTCCCTTCCTCTAATCTCCTCCCTCTTTCAAGGCAAGTCTCAAAAGTAACTCTTTGATTGTGCTTTCAGTCATCTTTCCCCTCCTCATCCTCCACTGCCCCCACCGTAGCTTGGCTGTCCATCCAGCACCTTAAATGCACCTTTGGACATCGTAATGGCATGAACTATTTACTACACTGATTGAGTTCATTGTTCCTCATCCTCACTTTTAAGGATCTAAACCCTACCAACCCACCCACTCCCTCCACTCAGCACTGGCCTGCTTCAAGCCCCCAACCCTGCTCAACCCCCATCGGCAGTCAGCCATTCAGCTTTCTGCCACCACCCTCTGGGACTCCATCCCAGAATCCTTTCACCTTACCCCCTTGCTTGCCTCTTCTCTCCTGCAGGTCTGAACTCCTTGACCTCCTTGGGCTCTCCCTCAGACTCACTGAACCCGTGCGGAACTTAGGTGTCAGGTTCGATCCCCAGCTTTCCTTTTTACCCCATATCTGTTCCCTGACCAGGAATGGCATTTTTCCACCTCCGTCACATTGCCCGCCTCCGTCTATACCTCACAACAAAAGTAGCCAAAACCCTCGTCCACACCTTTGTCACTTCCTGGCTGGACTATTCCAATGTCCTCCTTGCTGGTCTCACCAACTCCACCGTACCCAAAATTCAACTAATTCAGAACTCTGCCCCCCGATTCTTACCCGCATAAAAGTCTATGCCCCCATCACACCAGTCTTTGCCAGGCTCCACCAAATACTGAACGGATCCATTTCAAGATCCGCTGCCTCTGTTCGGCTGGCTCCGGCCTCCAGTTTGTCCCTCGTCCCTTCCGCTCCATCATCGGTGGCTGTGCTTTTAGCTACTACGCTCAAAACTCTGGAACTCTCTCCCTCAATCCCTCCGCCTTGATCCTCCCTTCCCACTTTCAAATCTTACCTAACCTTTTCGATTTTTTTATCACCTCCCCCTGCCTTCTTACTGGCTCGGTGTCAGACTCTGCCACTGTCAAGCGCTCCGGGATGCTTCCCCAGATGAAGGGCGCTATATAAATGCAAGTTGTTGTTGATATTGTTGTTGCCTCCCTCAAGGCTTGTCTCAAAATGTTTGACAATGCCTTCTGTCATCTTTTCACCGCCAAACTCCTTGGCCCCGACCCCTCTTGAATCCAACCCCTAACTTGTGGGCAAACTCTCAACTGTTCAGCACCTTGGGATTTCCTCCCAACAAGAAAGGCACTATATAAATGCAATCTGTTGTTGTAGGGTCTAGATGGCAGGTCTGAATCTCAGTTTGTGCTGTTAGTTCATCTCAGGCAGGACAGAAGATGGGGTGCCATAAGCAATCTCAATGTCCTTGGGTTAGGAAGGAAAAAAATCATCCGTTTGCCTCGTTCCATGAAGATTGCTCTAAAACACAGACCAAATGCCAGCTAAACGTTTATTGGTGCCACTAGGCACCTGAGACACATTGTAAATCAATCCCTTCAGCAACTGACGGGAATGGTAGTGGAAGTGAAACAGAAATCCCTGGAATTGCTTGGACCAACTTTGGAAGATAAACTGAAGCAGGAAAAACTAACTCCGTCACTGCAGCAAGGATACAGCAAGGACATAATATCTCCGCAGTTCTTAAATTAGCACAGCAGATGCATAGATACCCTCATGCTGCCGATTTCTAGGTCGGTCCTCTAAGTCAAGGCCCGTTTAACACTAAACAGCAAAGTGCTGTCAATTCAACTCATCAAGAAACAGCAAGAAACAGAAGATACCAACAAATTGCCAGCAGGTTTAAAGACCTTTGTGTACTGGATGTCACTTCGTTACAGAAATCCAAAACTCTGGGACACTGCTGTGCGCAATTGGGCCCACAAAATATGCAGCCAATTCACTTTACAGTATATTCTGTGAAGCGCTTCGAGATGTGATTTCAATGACATGATAAAGTCCAAGGATTATTGTTATTTATAAAGAGTAAACTGTTTATCGATCAAAATACATTAGATCTACACCCAACTGCTCATAATAATTGATAGCAAATTGTGTATGCAGGAATAATTGTTACTTACATTAGGGTAATGGCCATATTAATAGTTCCTGCATTAGATGCAGCATCTTCTCATGTCATCAAAATGTCTCACTGGGTTTACTGTGAAGTATTTGAGAAAGGCACTGGACTGTGAGTCTACCACTTCTAACTCCTGCTATTACAAAACAACTAAAGTCCTGACATGGGGATTGAACCCACAACTTTCTGACTCAGAGGAACCAGCTAGGCCAGGCTGACACCTACTCAAAACACTACAACATAATACATTCATTGCATAACAACGCCAACATGTATTTATATAATAATAATCCTTGCATTTGATATGGCACTTTATCATGGTTTTGAGACATCTCAACGTGCTTTACAAAATATACTGTAAAGTGCAATGACTGTAGAATTTGTGGGCGAAAACATAGCACCCCTCACGCAAGGTAACGTTCCAGAGCCCTTGTTAGTGGTAGAGCACAATGCCGAGTTGGGGGGAGGGAGAGGTGACCTTAGGCACGGTCGAAGAGGAAGGTCTTCAGAGAAAGAGGGCAAGGCGGAGGGACAAGACTGTCCCAGAGTTTCAGAGCATAGTGGCTGAAAGTGCAGCCGCCAATGGTGGAACGGAAGGTATGACGGACATGCAGAAGGCTGGAGCCAGTCGGGCGAAGACAGCGGGTTGTGGATTGTGGGGGGGTAAGTAGGTTGGAGAGATAGAGAGGTGCCAGGGAATAAAGGGATTTTAAATCAATCCGGTTGGTGATAGGGAGCCAGTGGAGCCTGGCTTGATTGGTGTGATTCGGATGGCGGTGTTTTGGATCAGCTGGATCTTGTAGATTGTGGAGCTGGGGAATCCGGTGAGGAAGACATTTCAAAAGTTGATTCGGGAGGTGACGAATGCATGGACAAGTGTTTTGGATGTGTCTGGGGTAAGGTACAGTTGGAGGTGGGCAATGTGGTGGAGGTGGAGGAAGGCGGTCCTGCTCAGGGATGTGGATGTGGAGAAGGAAGGACGCCTGTAGGTCGAACCTGATGCATAGATTGCTCACCGGTTCAGCAGAGGAAGAGGCTGGGGACGTTGAGGAGGTCAGAGCCCCAGGATAGAAGATGTTGACGGAAGCCAATGAATATGGCTTCTGTCTGGTCAACATTTAATTGTAGGAAGTTTTCCCTCATTCAGGCCCTGATGACTGTCAGACAAGCTGAGAGAACATCGGCAGACCTAAAGTCGCAGCTGGAAGAGAAGAAGTAGATTTGTGTGTCATCTACAAATATATTTACCCCGTGTCTGCGGATGACATCACCAAGATGGAACATACAGAGGAGGATGAAGAGGGGGCCAAGGATGGAACCCTGGGATACACCACAGGTGACTGGGTGGAGGCGGGAGGAGAAACCTTTTGAAAAGATAAAGTGAAGGTGGATTGTTAAGTAGGACTCGAACCAGGCGAGTGTGGTCCCACTAAAGTGAATGAGGGAGAAGAGGCGGTGGATTAGGATGGTGGACTGTGTCGAACACAGTGGAGTGGTCCAGGAGAACGAGGAGGCAGAGGGAGCCTTGGTCACGTAGAGAGAGGAATGTTGTTTGTGAACTTGACAACAAGGATCTACTGTAAAGTGTATAGATTGCATTTTGTAGGTAAACCCTGCAGCCAATTTGCACACACGGCCCTTGAGAATTCAACTCCAATGAGGTCTTGGGTTAGAGATATGTTGTGGTGGCTCAGTGTTATATACATGGGAAACCTGAAGGACCTTGTGGTATGTTTTCTGTTGCAAGGCTCATTTAAGCTGCCATTTAGAAAATAATAATTTCCAGCAGGTATAACAAATATTCCTCCATCCCATTCTCACCAGGTTCCACCAACTCCCAACAGATCTTCATTCTTACCTTCAAATACTTCTGTAGCCTTACCCTACCATATTTCGCCCACAAAATATACAATCAATAGTCAATTCACTTTACAGTATATTCTGTGAAGCGCTTCGCTAGATCTCAAAGACGTGATAAGGCACTATATCAAATGCAAGGATTATTATTATTATTTCTAATCTCTCCTGGCTCTTACTCCCCTGCCCACTCCCTCTACTCTGCTAACTCTGTTCTGGATCATATCTTGCGGCCCACTATTGGTGTGTGAGTCTTCAGACCATCCCCCACCCCTCCCACCACTCCCACACACCCCCAATTTTGGATGTTGCCTTGGATACTTTTTACACCATATTCTGAAAATTAAACTTCTTGTTTAAAAAAAAATCTCTAACCTGACCAAAAGCATCTGGTTGTCTGGGATCGAAGCCAGAATATATCAGCAGGCGAGTCAGTTCACAGTGTCCTAGATATAAAAGAAGATGGGAAAGTCAGGACAAGGCTAGAGTGAGGGGAATTTCAGAGAGGATGTATAAGTCCTGGAATATGGTGCTCTTTTAAACTACTAAAAATCCAAGCAGACAATTGCAATATCAGACAAGTCAGGAATAAAAACTGTTCAGTGTTTTATCAGGAGGCACGTAACAAATACATTTGTACTCTGTGCTTCAACTATTTGGCCAACAACAGTTTAGCCCTTTAGTGGTTCCATACAGAGCCCCATAGGTCTACTCGGACCCTCTGTAGTTGTCCTGTTTGCTCTCCATTCCAATGAAGCCATAAACCGGAAATACAGCTAGATTTTACAACATTTGATCCAACACTTGTACCAGGATTGGCACAGTTTCACATGCACAGTCTATAAGTCTTTAAATGCACCACATTACATTTCAGAATCAGGAGGAGATGAATAAACCTGCTACACTGCACAGATTAGACATGCTGGAGAATAACACAGTGAATTTCTTGACGCGACTCATAAACATGGAATCCGAATGAAACAAATTGGCGCACTGTGAGAAGTCAGCTCGACCCAAACCTAGGGAGAAACAGGTCCCGTTAAGAACTTGTGAGGAATGGAGTTACCTCATTACAACAACAAAAATAATTTTTATCCTCCTCATGAAACTTTGTTGTGGCCCCAATTTTGCTGTAAAGCGGTTGCATTGCAGACCCCATTCACTGAATGAACATGTATACAGTCAGCTCAATATCTTTCCTCTCGACAGATGGCTTTCACGTCAGAATGTTTGAGCTCCAGTTCAAAAGGTTACTAGTAATGTCACCCAGCAGTGCACATGTACAGTGAAACCACCTTTTGCTATTTAGCTGTATTAAGCGCTTTGAAGTGTCCTCCTGATATGAGAGGCGCTGTATGAATATTAATTGCATTGTATTTTATGGATCCAAACACTGCATTGTAACGGGACTCCACCCTGTATGAAAATGAAATTGATTCATTAAATCTGTGTGGAGTAAATGGCTCTCCTGTTCACTCGCACTATCCTCAGCCATCTCTGTTGCCCCAAATCAGCAGACATGACAGAGGGGTGGGGGGCTTTGGCTTGCAGGGTTAACAGTAGCTGATTGGGAAGAATCCCTGCCTCATCATCGGCGTCCTGGAGACCTGCGGACCCGCCTTGCTCAGGAACCGGACTACCGAGACCACCACAGAGGCTCAATTTTGACATTCCATAACCAAGCACATCACTTGGAATCAGCTCAGTTCCAATGTTTACCTCCCCCACCCCCCCAGATAGCCAGTAGTTGATCATTGAAAATAAATGAAAGCAGAAGTGATTTTTTTCTGGAAATTTGCCCGAAGAAGGTAAATTTTATTTTTATTTATATAGGTCCTGGCTCATGTCTTGAGGCAGCAGACATTGACATAAGGTGATACCTCCAGAAACAGAACAGATCAATCCAATTGCTTAATTGTTACGGCCACTTTCCACGATGTGAGAGATGCCAGATGTTTGCTTTTGACAGAGCTTTAATTAAGAAGACAAAAATTCAGGGCCAGCAAGAAAACCAGAGTTTATCATGCTAGCAAATTTAATTTAAAGTGGCATATGACCTTCCAACGTTTACAGGACTAAAATTTTGTAAAACATCTAAGGTGTTAAATATCTCCTAAAGTACAGGGATTTTGTAAGTAACCTTATGGTGAGCTATTTTACTAAGCATTTAGTGTTGCTTGAGGATCTTGTTTGACCCTCAACGATGCTTTCTACCGCACATCCGTGCTTGCTTTTTGATCTGCCCAACTCTTCCCTTCACAAGCTGCAAATCATCCAGAGAGCTGGAGCTCGTTTCCTCTCCCTTACCAAGCTCTGTGACCTTATCACTTTCACCCTAGCCCGGCTCCAATGGCTCCCCATCCCCCAGAGGATAGAGTTCAAAATCCTCCATCCTCACCTTCAAGACCCGCCACAGCCTTGCTTCTTCTTACCTCTGTCACCTACTAACGCCATATTAACATGTCCGCTCCCTCCGTTCAGCAGGCTCCACGTCCCCCGCCTGGCCCGCCCCACCAATGGCGGTCGGGCCTTCAGCCTCTCTGTCCCCACCCTTTGGAACTCTATCCCAAAGTCCCTTCACTTCACTCCCTCCCTTGCCTCCAAGGAATATCTCAAGACCCTCCTCTTCGGCCATGTCTTCGGCCACCCTCATACCCCTACACCCCCACCCCTGATTCCAACCTCCTGGAAAAACCCCTACAAATTCCAAAATACACTGTACGGAATTATGTACTTTACTGATGTTACGTTTTACACAGACAGGCTGACAGACTTTCTCTCTTCCTACCTCCCAACAATAACAGAGTTGAGAAGTTTGCATCAGATCACAGAATAAGTAACAGTAGAGGGGCTACAAGCATTTTGTTTTTTTAGACATCATTGTACTGGTGTACGTGGATGCACTAGTTTGAAGAATAATTGTTTGCTTTTTTTTGTGGGATGGGAGCAAGGAAGATTTATTTTAAGGTGGGGGAGGAATGACTGTTGACTATTTTCTTTATCAACAACAAAATTACATTTGTATAGCACCTTTCACGTCGGGAGGACGTCCCAAGGCGTTGGCTTATCAAAGACTTACTCTGTGAAGTGCTTTGAGATGTTTAAGCTGCCATTTGGAAAACAATGATTTCCAGCAGGGAGAGCAAGTATTCTCTATTTTTCCCCATTCCCGCCCGGTTCCACTAGCTCCCAACAGATCAATTGTAAGATCTTTATTCTTACCTTTAAATACTTCTATAGCCTTATCCCACCCTATTTTGCCCACAAAATATACTGTCAATTCATTTGACAGTATACTCTGTGAAGCGCTTTGAGATGTCTCGAAGACGTGATAAGCCGCTATATAAAGTGCAAGGATTATTATTATGATAAAAAGTCTGCGAAATGCAAAATGGTACGTGCAGGTGTTGGGATTGGCTGGACTGCACTACATATCTCATGAGGTTCCCCTGAAATCAACAGTGCCGCAGGGCTTCCGCCTGGAGCTTAGCATTCCGATTCTGAATAGATTCAAGGTTATCAGGTCAATGGCTGCTGTGTGCTGATACAGTTTATTTCAGGCAAGTGATGCAATCCTGAACTTCTTAAAAAATTCACGTGGTTCAAGATTGATTGTTCATTTTTCTTAATTTCAAAAAGACTTAAAACTGCTGAGGCCTTAAGCCAGAACCTTGTACTCACCATGAAATGCCGCCCAGTGCAGTGCCGAGTCTCCTTCGTGGTCACACATTTGCAGACTGGCTCCTTTCCCCATCAGGTAACAGCATAGGGTGATGTGTCCGTACTGTGCAGCGATGATCAGAGCTGTGCACCCTCTGTGATCCCTCTCGTCCAGCCAAACCCCCGCCTCCAGCAGGATGTCCATGACCCCTAAGTACCCGCTGACAGCTGCCCAGTGGATGGGTCTCTGGCCGGGTTCCGAGCGGCAGGGCAGATTGACGGGTGCCTTGCAGTCCACCAAGTAGGTGAGGAGGGTGGCGGATCCATTGAGAGCGGCCCAGTGGGCAGGAGTGCATCCCTTCTCATCATACTGCCCCAGTGCTCCCACACCTTCCAGCTTCACCAGCTCCTGAAGACTCCTTAGATCCCTGCCGGAAAAGAAGTACCAGGTATTCTGGTAACTACTGGTAAACACACACACACACAACGCTCACAGCACCTCAGAATCAAACTCAGGGAGAGACGAAAGGTTCATTCATTCTTGAAATAAAATTGGTCACTCGCTCCACGACTGTTTGTGGAACACTGCTGTGCGCAAACCGGCTGCCACGTTTCACCCACAGTCAAAGCCACTTTACAATATGTTCTTTGAAGTACTTTGAAACATTTTGACAACATGATAAGGTGCTAGATCAAATGCAATTATTATTAATAACAATAACTGAAGCACACAGGGTCTTCCCACATCCCTGCAATAAAAATCCTTCTTTATTGTACCAAAGCGCATCTCGGTAACAGAACAGCAAAGATTTCAAAAGTAGTAAACTCAATTATTTTTCTTATTTTAATTATTATTCCTAAAATGCACAGCCCTCAATTTATGCTTCTGCAACTTGACCCCCAGTCACTCACTATTGCCAGTGACACTGACCTCTGGCCATAGCGCCAAGTGGGAAGAAAGAAAGCAGAGAGAGAGAGACAAGAGAGAGAGGGGGGGGAGTGAGAGAAGTTAATGGAGAATAAGGGGGGAGTGGGGGGTATTTCTTACAACAACGGAAAGGAACGGGGAAAACAAGTCAAAGGGGTAAAAAAGGGAAAAGATGAGAGGGGCGACCGGAGATAATAAAGGGAAAGAGAAGTAATGGGAAAGAATAGTGGGAGTTAAGATGGGGAAAGAGGAGCGGTTGGGGCGGGGCGGCCACTCACTCACCCACTCACCCACTCACCCGGTGCCGGGAGTCGGGGCTGCGGTCCGGGACCGCCCGGTTTGGCGCTGCGCCGCGGTGTGTGCGAGAGAACGATCAGCCGCCGACATCGCGGAGAGGCAGCGAGTGTGTGAGCGGCCGCTGCAGTGTCAGTGTGACGGCCACTGCACTGCACTACACAGCACTGCACAGCCACTGCACTGCACTGCACAGCCACAGCCACAGCCACAGCACTGCACTGCACTGCACAGCACTGCACAGCCACTGCACAGCACTGCACAGCCACAGCCACAGCACTGCACTGCACAGCACTGCACAGCCACTGCACTGCACTGCACAGCCACAGCCACAGCACTGCACTGCACAGCACTGCACAGCCACTGCACTGCACAGCCACAGCCACTGCACTGCACAGTACTGTACAGCCACTGCACTGCACTGCCACAGCACTGCACTGCACAGCACTGCACTGCCACAGCACTGCACTGCACAGCCACAGCACTGCACAGCCACAGCCACAGCACTGCACTGCACAGCCACTGCACTGCACTGCACAGCCACAGCACTGCACAGCCACAGCACTGCACTGCACTGCACTAGCACAGTACTGCACAGCCACAGCACTGCACTGCACAGCGCTAGCACAGCACTGCACAGCCACAGCACTGCACAGCCACAGCACTGCACTGCACAGCCACAGCACTGCACAGCCACAGCACTGCACAGCACTAGCACTGCACAGCACTGCACAGCCACTGCACAGCACTGCTCAGCCACAGCACTGCACAGCCACAGCACTGCACAGCCACAGCACTGCACAGCACTGCACAGCCACAGCACTGCACTGCACAGCCACAGCACTGCACTACACAGCACTAGCACAGCACAGCACTGCACAGCCACAGCACTGCACAGCCACAGCACTGCACAGCCACTGCACTGCACAGCACAGCACTGCACAGCACTGCTCAGCCACTGCACTGCACAGCCACAGCACTGCACTGCACTGCACAGCACTAGCACAGCCACAGCACTGCACAGCAGTGCACAGCCACAGCACTGCACTGCACAGCACTGCACAGCCACAGCACTGCACTGCACTGCACTGCACTGCACAGCACTAGCACTGCACAGCCACAGCACTGCACAGCACTGCTCAGCCACAGCACCCCACTGCACAGCCACAGCCACAGCCACAGCACTGCACTGCACAGCACAGCACTGCACAGCCACTGCACAGCACTGCACAGCCACAGCCACAGCACTGCACTGCACAGCACTGCTCAGCCACAGCACTGCACAGCACAGCCACAGCACCGCACTGCACTGCACAGCACTGCACAGCCACAGCACTGCACTGCACAGCACTGCACAGCACTGCACTGCACTGCTCAGCCACAGCACTGCACTGCTCAGCCACAGCACAGCACTGCTCAGCCACAGCACTGCACAGCACTGCACAGCCACTGCACAGCACTGCACAGCCACAGCACTGCTCAGCCACAGCACTGCACTGCAACTGCACAGCCACAGCACGGCAACTGCACAGCCACAGCACGGCACTGCACAACCACAGCACGGCCACAGCACTGCACTGCACAGCCACAGCACTGCACTGCACAGCCACAGCACTGCACAGCCACAGCACTGCTCAGCCACAGCTACAGCACAGCACAACCACAGCCACAGCACTGCACAGCACTGCTCAGCCACAGCACTGCACAGCACTGCTCAGCCACAGCACAGCACTGCACAGCCACAGCTCTGCACAGCACTGCACAGCACAGCCACAGCACAGCACTGCACTGCACAGCCACAGCACTGCACAGCCACAGCACAGCCACTGCACAGCCACAGCACAGCCACAGCACTGCACAGCACAGCCACAGCACTGCACTGCACAGCCACTGCACAGCACAGCACTGCACAGCACTGCACAGCCACAGCACTGCACAGCCACTGCACAGCCACAGCACAACCACAGCACTGCACAGCCACTGCACAGCCACAGCCACTGCACAGCCACTGCACAGCCACTGCACTGCACAGCCACAGCCACAGCCACAGCACTGCACAGCCACAGCACTGCACAGCCACAGCACAGCCACAGCACTGCACAGCCACTGCACTGCACTGTACAGCCACAGCACTGCACAGCCACAGCCACAGCACAGCCACTGCACAGCACTGCCACAGCACAGCGCCTCACTGCCAGTGTCACCCTCACACACCCCAACACGCACCCCCGCAACACGCACACCTCCCCAACATGCATCCCCGCAACACGCACACCTCCCCAACACGCATCCCCGCAACACGCACACCTCCCCAACACGCATACCCGCAACATGCACACCTCCCCAACACACATACCCCCAACACGCACACCTCCCCAACACACATACCCGCAACACGCGCACCCCAAAACGCACACCCCGAACACGCACTCCCCCAAACACGCACACCCTAACACACCCACCCAACACACACACCCCCAACAAGCAGACACCCCCAACATGCACCCCCTTCAGCATGCACATCCCCAACATGCACCCCCCAACACGCATACACCCCCAACACCCGCAAACCCCCAACACACGCACCCCCCAGCACGTAGACCCCCAACATACAAACCCCCAACATGCAGCCCCCCAATAGGCACACCCCCCAACACGTACACCCCCAACACACATATCCCCCAACAAGCACACGCACCCCACAAAATGCACACACCCCCAACACGCACCCTCCCAAACACACACACACCCCAACACGCACACTCCACCAACACGCACATGCCCAACATGCACATCCCCCAATACGTACACACCCCCCAACAAACACACACCCCCCAACACACGCCCTCCCCCCAACATGCACAACACCAATATGCACACCCACCCCAACATGCACAAACCCCCAAACACGAACACCCCCCCAACACGCAGCCCCCCAACACGCAGCCCCCCAACACGCAGCCCCCCAACACGCAGCCCCCCAACACGCACAATCCGCCCAACACGCACAAACCCAACATGCACACACCCCCCGACACGGATCCCCCCAACACGCATACATCCCCCAACACGCAACCCCCAACACGCACTTCCCCAACACGCAGCAGCCCCAACACGCAGCACCCCCAACACGCACTTCCCCAACATGCACTTCCCCAACACGAACCCCCCCAACACGCACACCCCCAACACGCACACCCCATCAAAATGCACTCCCCCCAACACGCACACCCCAACACGCACACCCCCCATCACGCACACCCCCCAACACGTGCACACCCCCCAACACGCGCACATCCCCCAACACGCGCACACCCCACAATACGCGCACACACCCAACACGCGCACACCCCCCAACACACGCACACCCCCCAACATGCACCCCCCCAAAACGCACCCCCCCAAAACGCACCCCCCCAACACGTGCACACCCCCCACAATGTGCACACCACCCAACACACGCACTCCCCCCAACACGCAAAGCCCAACACGCACACACCCCCGAACACGCACACCCCCCAACACGCACACTCCCCCAACACGCACCCCAACATAACATAACATGCAGGAGTAGGCCATTCGGCCCTTCGAGCCTGCCCCGCCATTCAATCATGGTTGATCTTCTAATCTAACTCCAGCTAATAACCTGACCCTGCCTTATCCCCATATCCCTTAATTCCTTTTGCAATAAGCAATCTATCTATCTCAGTCTTGAATATGTTCAAGGACTGAGCATCAACAGCCCTTTGGGGTAGTGAGTTCCATACATTCCCCACCCTTTGAGTGAAGAAGTTCTTCCTCAACTCAGTGTGAAATGGCTGCCTCTGATTTTAAGATTGTGACCCCTGGTTTTAGTTTCTCCAACCAGGGGAAACAATCTCCCGCTATCTACTCTATCATGCCCTTTGATGATCTTATAGGTTTCTATAAGATCCCCTCTAATTCTTCTATATTCAAGAGAATATAGGCCCAAATTAGTCAGCCTATCCTCGTAGCTCATCCCCTTCATCCCTGGTACTAACCTTGTAAATCTACGCTGCACCCCCTCCAAGGCAAGTACATCCTTCCTTAAATAAGGAGACAAAAACTGCACACAGTATTCCAGGTGTGGTCTCACCAGGGCCCTATACAGTTGCAGCAAGACTTCCCTACTCTTATACTCTAATCCTTTCATAATGAATGCTAACATCCCGTTCTCCTTCCTAATTGCTGCTGCACCTGCAGACTAACTTTCTGAGATTGGTGTACAAAGACACCCAAGTCCCTCTCGACGCTAACACATTCCAATCGCTCCCCTTCTAACAAATAACCTGCTCTATTGTTTTTGCTCCCTAGGTGGATGAACTTGCACTTCCCTACGTTATACTTCATCTGCCACCTACCTAACACACCCCCCAACAAGCAAAACCCAACACGCGCACCACCCAACACGTACACCCCCCAACACGCGCACACCCCCAACACGCAGCCCCCAACATGCACATCCCAACACGCAGAGCCCCCAACACGCACAGCCACCCCAACATGCACACACCCCAAAACGCACCCCCCCCAAAACGCACCCCCCCAAAATGCGCACCCCCGAACACGTGCACAGCCCCCAAAACGTCCACACCACCCAACACACGCATTCCCCCCAACATGCACAGCAAACACACACCCTAACACGCACAACCACCAACACGTACCTTCCCAACATGCACACCACCCCACACGCACAGCCCCCCAACACTCACACTACCCCAACATGTACACCCCTCCACATGCACACTCCCCCAACATGCACCTCCTTAACACGTACACGCCCACAACACACACACCCCTCCAACACGTAGACACCCCCAACACTCAAACACCCCCAACATGCACACCGCCTAGCACGAACACCCCCAACATGCACCCCCAATACGCACAGACCCAACAGGCACACACCCCCAACACAAACCCCCTCCAACACGCACACTCGCCAACACGCACAGCCCCAACACGACACACCCCCAACACGCACACACCGCAGCATGCATCCCCCCAACATGCACACCCCCAACACGCACACGCCCCCCAAAACGCACCCCCCTCACACCCACCCCCCA